TCCACTTGCAGCCGTCCTCAGGGAGGGGCCTAGGGAGAGCCCCGCATGGACGGCTGGGCCGAGCCGCTGGGCGGAGAGGAGTGAGGTCTGCGGCTTCGGGGTGGGGCAGCGCGGTGAGGGAGGCCCCCTTTCTTCTGTCCCCTTTCCTCCTGTCCTCACTGCTGCTGACCACCCTTGGCCAGACCTGGGGGCGGGTCCCCTGCCCACTTGCTCAGGACGCTGGACTTGCTGCTGTGGGTCGATCCCAAAGGGAAGAATGGCCGCCGCAGCTGAAACGAGGGAGTGTCCGAGGGAGCGCGGGCCGGGGCGGGGACCGGCGGCCAGGGGGACCCCCCTGCTTCCCGGAGCACGGCTCCCGGCCCCTGCGCCCCGCCCAGAGGAGGCCTCGGTCTAGGAAGCCGAGCAGGGCCCTGCGGAGGCCTGGGCAGCTGGCTGCACGTGGGTGACGTGTCTAACTTGCAGGAAGTGAATGGGCACCCTGTGAAAAACAGTTGCTGTGTGTGTGCATGTGCATGTGTTCCATCAAAGTACACTGAGCTCGGCTTTATTATGTGGACATTGTTTAGGATTGTTTCATCCCCCCCACCCAATTACATCAAGCTATATGCATTACTAAGTGCTCAGCTTCGTGCTAAAGCAGTAAAGCGAAGTTCTGTAAAACATTGTTTCTGCCCTCAGGGAGTTACAGTCTATTCTGTTTAAACAAGATTCTAATAACAGAAGAATAATTTTCAGTAGAGAGTCCACTCAAATCCCAGAATACTGAAAATTGGTTTAATGTCACATATACTCTGGTACAGAGTTTCTTTAATTAGAAAGAGTTAATGCAACATACCAGAGTGTCTAATTTAGTTTTAGAATGTAGGTAATTTGTGTGCTTCCAGCAAAATTACAAAAGCCTCTCAAAATTCTCAGCCAAGTAGTTCAATCCTTTGAATTAGATTACAAAGCAAATCTTTTCGTGAACATCCTTTTCTTATAGAAAAGGTTTGGGTTTTTTTTTTTTTTTTTTAATGTACTTAAAAAAAAAACCATACTATATTAATTTCTGAGAATGCCAAAAAATGGCAGATGTGTTAAGGTGGAAAAAGTGGGCTGTCACTTTTGTTACACTCCCAAAATATACAGACAGGGTTGATAATCACTGGAGTAAACTTAGAGAAAATCATTTAGATTGTAGGCAAGAAGGCAAGAAAAGCTCCTTAGAGTCTTCAGAAGTTTTTGTCATTTTATGTCTTTATGCTCACAAGACAGTATGTATATTACTGGAACTTTCATTTTTAAATGGCATAATGTATTACATTTTTTAAGTAAACTATGTCTAAATTTTTATGTAAAAATTAATAGTCTCTGAAATATACTGCAGCATTTTTTTTCTTTACAAAAAGAGGGAGAGGGAATAGGAATACTTAGGCCTGTGTCTCATCCCTTCCATCCTCTTCTACAGAGGCCATACACTGTACAGGCGTCAGGTCAGAAGCCTGAGTCTAGCCTCCCTGTCTTGCTGTGCCTGCTGTGTGTTCTTGGGCAAGTTACTCAGCTACTCTGTTTTTCAATTTCTCATGTGTATACTGGGGAAATATTTGTACCTACCACAAAGGATAGTTGTGAGGATTTATTGAGCTAGTGCAAGAAAAGCACTTAAAGCGCTGGGTATAATAAGCATTCAAGTGTTAACGGCTTTATTATTATCATCATCATTGTTATTATTACTATGTTGAAATGAACGAAAGAATTCAGAACATTGGGCAGTTTATGAGTGGTCCCTGGAGACTATGAGAGAATGCTGTTCATATGCCAGCAGCTCTAAGAATTGTCTAGTGTCTGCTGTAGTGCTGAAGGTGAATTCACCAAAGGTATTTGTACCTCTTGTCCTTCTCCTGAGAGATTGTGGTATTTTGAGGACATAAAGATGATTGACCTTGACAAATCCTAGTTATAACTCTAGAATTCCAAAGGTCAAAGGCATAATGTGAAATGCGTTGCTGTTAAAGTCAGCATAAGTCAAAGATGCCCTCTTTTACCAGAATCATTTAGTGGTATCTAGAATTTCATTATTATTGTCAAATGGGAAGGAGTAACTAATAGTAAAATTATAAAACTGGAGGAGAATTATCACTTGTAAACAGTATTATTTAAGATGAAGGGTTGAAGATGATAAACTAAAAAACTATGAATTAATAGTTTAGTAAATGAGCCAAACATAAATACTCTTCAAAGGTAAATACAGTAACAATATTCAGTAATGAATATATAATGAAAAAAAAGGTTTCATGGATATTAGCAGGAAAAAAACATGTTTTTTTTCCCCAAATAATATGGATTTATTGATTTTTTAAAAATTTTATTAACTTTTTTTTAAGCAGAAAAAAATGTTAAGCTCCAGAGAAAAGTTGATAGGAAATATGTATTGACTATATCAATGGGATTTTTCTCTAGGGTAATTGAAAAGCAACTTGAATAATTGAAGATATATACCATGTTTATGCATATGAAGACTTTATATTGTAAACATGTAGATTATTCCCAAATTAATTTATAAATATAATTCCAATTATAATGTTAAAGAAATTACCAAAGTATAATTGTGACAGGTCTTCATATGGTAAAGGTGGCATTTATATTCAGTGAGAGAAGAATGTTTTATTCAGAAAGTGATAGCTGAATCACTGAGAAAATAAAGCCCCAATTTTTAGTATGGTAGGGTGCAGTTTTTAAGACAAACACTAAAAAAAGAAGCAAATGGTAGATTTGTTGACAAGAGAAAGTTAAAATTTCATAAGATCAAAATACCTTATAAAAATGTCAAATGACAAGCCACGATAAATATTTGTAACTTCAGTGATCTAGAAAGAGTAACTCTGTCTTTTGTAACTATTAGTATCTCCAAGGCAAAATGTATTTTTAAAATAAAAAAAAATGAATACTACGTTAAGAATAAGGCAATAAGGTCTGAGTTATTTGGTTTTCATTTCTTTTTTTTTTTTGTCTTTTTGTCTTTTTCCGTGTCCGGCAACGGATCGCAACCCTCAGTGTTGCCCCCGTACCGGACCAGGGACCGGCAACGGGACCGCAACCCCCGGCGCTGCTCCCGTGCCTCGCTCAGCCAGTGAGC